TTTAGCACACTCTCTTTTATTATAAAATTCAAAGTTCTGAGCAAATTTCCTATTATACAATTTCATAAGTAGATTAGTTGGCAACACAATAATCCATTTTTTCCTCTTGTTAGTTTGTCAAGTATTTAGGGAAACAAATTTCAGGTTTAAAAAGTTAAAATTCAGAAAACCTGGAGTAATTTGAAATGTTGACCTGAAGGTGGAGAAAAATAATTAGGGGGCAATTAAGAATTAATATTAATATGTTAATTAGAATCCCAAGTTGAAGGCAATGCTAAAAACTTTTATCAAGATATTTGATAAAATATTAATATAAAATAAAACATTAGTGCCATTTATAGATTAACAAAACAACATCATCACACTTGGCATTCTTTGAAAGATCAGTGTGAAGTAGTACATGTTCTCATCCATGAGCTGGAATAGCTTACTACTTGTTGGTATGTCATTGTAACATATATACTGAGTTAGGTTACTGTAGGTCACGTTCATATCCTACTCAGGACCTCCACCAAATCCATACATCACCATTAGAAGAAAAGAAGGAAATATTTTTGAAAAGGTGGTAAGTATTTGTAGTTAAATTACACATATCTGATCTTGGTTCCTTGGTGTTTCAGTAGCTCATACTGGCTTATTCAAGTTGGATGATTTTGAATTTTTATCTGCAGGTATATAGCCCCACCAACCTGGCTCATGAGAATTCAAAATCAATAAAAATAAGGGACAATTTCTATTGTTACAGTCAAGAAAAAACATTTATCGAGTCATAAATTAATGCACACTTTAGCTTCTCTAGATTGTCCTGCTCATGTGAGGCACATAACATTCTATGGTGACACAAAGTCTCTTTTAAACAACTGAGAAGGGGAAAGTTTTGCTTTGATAGTCTTAAAATAGCTTCCTCTAACATTTTTGTCTGACTCGCATATATCATTCTTTGTTTTGATTCTTAAAGCTTTTGACATACATAACTGTACCCTTGAAAATACGGCATGGGCCTATGTTTAGTGACTTGAAGTATAGCCCCCATAATAAAAATACCATTAGTTCAATTGCTTTTGTTCTTCTACTGGGTTTGTAGGACAAATATTATTCTGTCTTTTGTAAACATACAAAATGACATTGCTTAGTTTTCTAGGTCTTTCAAGTGGTTATTTTGGGAGAAAATAGTTATCCTACTGTAGCTGTTGTACAAAATGACAAAAGTGAAAAGGAACAACTGTTTGTCCCAAAGGCACCTCTGTCCACATTCACAGTGAATGTCATTCCAGGAATCAATTACATGTTGAGAAAGAAACCACTTAAGGCACTAGGCTGTGTTTTCAAAAATGAGAAAGAGGAATCTCCAGGTTATTCGTCTTTTACTAGAGGAGAAAAGCCTAGATTTATTCTCTTCTCCTTATCCTAGATAACTTCAATCTCACAAATACACAAGCACATTGCTGTATGTTTCCATTTTCCCCAGTGGAAAACTCCATGGCAGCTCACGCAAAGCAACATCTGGACAAAATGACACTCATCCCTAATTCGCTTGTCTAGTTCTATTTGCCTTAGTGGGCAATAGAAATGATTTTATAAAGAAAAATGTAAACCACCCATTAAGACAAATCCTGTATATGTTTCTATCAGTGCTATTAAATGCTGTACTGGCATTAGCATTTCATTTTGTCCTGTTTGTATGGTCTAATTTTTTTTGGTGGAGAATGTTCACAATTGTTTACCGGGGATCAGATATGTAGGTGCTACATTCTGTTGAAGGGGAATAGAACAAAATCTGAGACAGACACCAACTGACATAAATGTGAAAATTGGAGTCAAGATTATGTGTCAAATGTGTTATTATGGCTAGGATGCTTACACAAGACCTTAGACTCTTAGACTCCTAACTTGATATTTTGCAAAGGAGTACTGTTTACTAAGTTCATCAGTGCCCAAGAGCCACTGCAGGACTCTGAAAGGAGGTTTACCAGGATGGATTGGTGTTAGCCTAGTGGGCTGAGGAGTATCAGCTCTCAATTAGTAACAGTAGTTATAAAATATGTTTTACTACAGCAGAAATGATTGAGAATTGTCCTGTCAAGAGAGAGCGATATGTTAGAGCTCACCAAAGATACCTTCTATTACATGTGATCACTTGAATCAATGTTATCTTCCTTAAGAAAGTCATTCTCTTTACATCAGAGACATGGAAGACATGAAATCTTTCTAAAAGAACACTTAGTAAAAATTGTTGGTAAAAATCTACTTAGTGGGGCAGGTGTTTCGTAGATATATTACTGCACCTGGCATTTTAAAATCCAAGAGTGTAAATGAGTGACAATTGGCTCAGCTTCATGAAGCAGCCTTAGCCAATTTCACACACTGTGTTAGTGCTCTTAATACACATGTAGTGGTGGCTTGACACTATATGAATAGATTCCAATGGTCTATTACTAGCTCAGTTCTGTATTTTAGAATATTTTGCAGGTTTTCTCTGGACGACTGGCTGAATCTAAATGGGTTGTTAAAACATTTTAACAGCCTGCTGTTTCTTTCTTGTCCATTGGTTTCTCCCACTCAACACAAAAATAATCATTGCATTTGAGTGTGTTCCAATTCCATTTAACACCAACCCATCTCCAGTTGCTTAATTTTTAAGCTGATGCTTTTAATATTCCTGCAATTTGAGGAGGGGTTATAATATTTCTGCTAATTTGTAGGAAGATAGTGATGTTAAATAACATTTTGTTTGCATCCCACTTCACTTGATTATTTGATAATTGTTGATAGGTGTGTTCTCTCTACAGGAAGTGATGAATAGAATTTGAAATGCCATGGGGAAAGCCTGTGTTAAAGCATTGCATGGTATACCAGTTACTTTTCTAGTTGTGACAACCAAATACCTGATAATAAGCAACTTGAGAGAATGGTTTACTGTAGCTTACAGTTGAGAGGATTATATCAGAGACAGCATTGCAGCAGTGGCATCAAGAGACAGTTCTCACATTGTATCTGTATTCGGGAAACACAAAGAGAAGAGGAAATGAGACTGTGCTTTCCAGCCACAAGGACCACCCTCAAGGAATCACTTCCTTCAGTGAGGCTCAACCTCCTGAAGACTTCACAACCTTCCAAAATTTTTCATGTATACACTTTACATATGATGGGAAATTTATTATTTTATTTTAAGTAGTTGAGATTATAATATAATTACATGATTCCCCACTTCCATTGCTTCACTCCAAACCTTACCATGTACCCTTCAATCCCCACTCTCTTTAAAATTCATGACCTTCTTTCTTTTCTTTTTTAAATTTTTATATTTTAATTAGAAAGAAGATTATTTTACATGTCAATCCCAGGTCTCTCTCCCTCCCCTCCTCCCCTGCCCCCCTAACTAACACTCTACCAATCCCATAACATTTCTGCTCCCCAGGGATGGTGAGGCCTTCCATAGGGTGTCTTCAGAGTCTGTCATATCCTTTGGGATAGGGCCTAGGCCCACCCTCTTGTGTGTAGGCTCAGGGAGTATCCCTCCATGTGGGATGGGCTCCCAAAGTCCATTCCTATGCTAGGGATAAGTAGGGATAGATCCACTACAAGAGGCCCCATAGTTTTATGAGGTCTCCTCACTGACACCCACATTCAGGGCATCTGAATCAGTCCTATGCTGGTTTCCAGCTATCAGTCTGGGGACCAAGAGTTCTCCCTTGTTCATGTCAGCTGCTTCTGTGGGTTTCCCCAACCTGGTATGGACACGTTTGCTCATCAGTCTTCCTTCTGTGCAACTGGATTTCAGTTCAGTTCAAGGTTTAGTTGTGGGTGTCTGCTTCTACTTCCACCTGCTGCTGGATGAAGGCTATAGGATGGCATATAAATTAGTCATCAATCTCATTATCAGGGGAGGGCATTTAAGGTAGCCTCTCCTCTGTTGCTTAGATTGCTAGTTGGTGTCATCTTTGTAGCTCTTCAGACATTTCCCTAGTGCCTGATTTCTCTTTAAACCTATAATGGCTCCCTCTTATGGAATCTCTTATCTTGCTCTCCTCTATTCTTCCCCCAACTCAACCTTCCTGCTCCTTCATGTCCTCCCCACCCCATCTCTTCTCCCCTTTTCATTCTCCTAGTTCCTCTCCCCTCCCTGCATGCTCCTAAATTGCTCAGGAGATCTTGTCCCTTTTCCCTTCTCCAAGGGACCATGTATGTCTCTCTTAGGGTCCTCCTTGTTTACTAGTTTCTCTGGCAGTGTGGATTTTAGGCTGGTAATCCCATACTCTATGTTTAAAATCCACTTATCAGTGAGTACATACCATGTTTGTCTTTTTGTGACTAGGTTACCTTGCTCAGCATGGTTTCTTCTAGTTCCATCCATTTGCCTGCGAATTTCAAGATTCCATTGTTTTTTGTTTTTTGTTTTTCCCCAGTTGAGCAGTACTCCATTGTGTAAACATACCACATTTTCTATATCCAGTCTTCAGTTGAGGGGCATCTAGGTTGCTTCTAGGTTCTGGCTATTACAAATTGTGCTGAGATGAACATTGTTGAACAGACGTCCTTGTTGTATGAATGTGCTTCTTTTAGGTATATGCCTAAGAGTGGAATTGCTGGAATTTTGAGTCATTAAAGAAAGAAATTAAAGAACATACCAGAAAATGGAAGGATCTCCCATGTTCTTGGATGGGTAGGATCAACATAGTAAAAATGGCAATTTTGCCAAAAGCAATCTACAGATTAAATGCAATCCCCATCAAAATCCAAGCACAATTCTTCACAAATTTAGAAAAACAATTCTCAACTTTATATGGAAAAACAAAAGACCCAGGATAGCAAAACAACCCTGTACAATAAAAGAACTTCTGGAAGCATCACCATCCCTGATTTCAAGCTCTACTGTAGAGCTATATTCCTCAAAACAGCTTGGTATTGGCATAAAAATAGACAGGTAGATCAATGGAATCGAGTTGAAAACCCTGATATTAACCCGCACACCTATGAACACCTGACTTTTTACAAAGCAGCTAAAGCTTTACAATGGAATAAGAAAGCATCTTCAGTCAGTGCACAGTCTGAGACCCACTGCCAGCAAGGGAGGCTCCAGCGCGGGCTGCCCAGCCCCCTCCACGATGTCCAAGGCAGAGGAGTCTAAGAAGCTGGCGAGCCACACGGGTACTGGAGAACAACGTGAAGAATAACGAAGTGCTGGGAATTGGAAGTGGTTCTACAATTGTCCATGCTGTTCAGCGAATAGCTGAAAGAGTGAAGCAAGAGAATCTGGACCTCATCTGCATCCCCGAGTCTTTCCAGGGTTTCTCAGTGTAGCTTTGGAGCCTATCCTGGCACTTGCTCTGGAGACCAGGTTGGCCTCGAACTCACAGAGATCCGCCTGCCTCTGCCTCCCGAGTGCTGGGATTAAATGCGTGCACCACCAACGCCCGGCCTACAAGTGGATTTATAAGAAAAGAAGTTGGAAAAAAAAAAAAAAAAGGCCAGACAGCTTATTTTGCAGTGTGGCTTAACCCTCAGCGACCTGGCTCAACACCCAGAGACTGATCTTGCCATCAATGGTGCTGATCAAGTGGATGCCGAGCTCAATCTCTTTAAGGGCAGTGGAGGCTGCCTGACCCAGGAGAAGATTGTAGCTGGTTTAGCCAGTCGTTTCATTGTGATCGCGGATTTCAGGAAAGATTTAAAGAACCTTGATGATCCGTGGCACAAGGGGATCCCTATCCAGGTCATCCCAATGGCTTATGTCCCAGTGAGCCGAGCTGTGACCCAGAAGTTTGGGCGCGAGGTAGAACTTCGAATGGCTGTCAACAAGGCAGGGCCTGCGGTGACAGATAATGGGAATTTTATCCTGGACTGGAAGTTTGACCGGATGCACAAGTGGACTGAAGTGAACACAGCTATCAAAATGACTCCAGGTATGGTGGACACCTGCCTGTTCATCAACATGGCAGAGAGAGTTTACCTTGGGATGCAGGATGGCTCAGTGACTGCGAGGGAAAAGCCCTTCTGACCCTGTGAGGTGCAGGGCACACACCTTGAGTTTCCAGTCCAGGCACAGTGGACATGCTTCTCTCGGAGCCTTTGCCTTAACGTACCTTAATGTAATTGTCCACAGTGCCGGAGTGGACAGCTGGCCAAGGGTGGGTGGGTGAGGGGGTGAGAGGGTGGTTAAATTCAGTCTTATGAAGTATTGATATGTATCTTTTTTAAAAAGAAATTTAAATATATATATCTTTACTATTAAAATATTCAGTTTTTTAAATAAAATAGAACTTGATTTTATGTTTTATATGAAACATTTACCAAAAACAAAAAAAAATGTATATATAAAAACAGGAGGTCAGGACTGTCTCCGAATGCTTTGACTCGACCTGTTGGTTAAGTTTGTGAGGTTTTAGATTTGCTGAGAAATAACAACATGGCATTTCCTTAAGCCAGCCAGCGTCGAGTGCTTCCTGATGCCTTATGGGAAACCTTGTTTACTTTCTTGCAATACTTTGTTTTGTTTTAGGTTGTTTTCATTATACCACTCCCAAATCCTAGTTACATCTTAAGATCAGGTTTACAGAAGTCTGAGTGGAGCAGTGGGATTTGTGGTGACTTGGGCCTAAACTCCCAGGTGAGAATGCACCTTCTCTGGGACTCTGGCTTGCTTGGGTCCTGCTGTGGGAGGCACGAGGTGGGAAGCTTTTGCCTGCTGGCAGCACACGCACAATATGGCCTTCGTGAGATGTGAAGCACTTACTTTTTGTTGTTGAATGACTTTCTTTGTTTTTGTTTTTTTCTCTAATAACACTTGTATGATTTGGCATCAGAAGCTGTCACTTCTTTGTGCTGTTTGAAGGTTGAAATAAACATTGTTGTGCCATTTTTGAAAAAAAAAAAGCGTCTTCAACAAATGGTGCTGGCATAACTTTATTGCTGGCATGTAGAAGACTGTAGATAGACCCATGTATATTGCCATGTACAAACTTAAATCACAATGGATCAAAGACCTCAACTTAAATCCAGCCACACTGAACTTATTAAAAGAGAAAGTAGGAAATACCCTTGAACGAATCGGTACAGGAGACAGCTTCCTGAACATTACACCAGTAGCACAGACACTGTTCCTACTTCTGAGTGTGGAACAGTTCCTACTCTGCAGCAGTCTTGCCTGTCTTGAAGGTTGTAGGCTTTGTGTCAGCTTGATGCTGTTTCATCCCACATATGCATTTAGGATCAAGAGATTATCCTTAAATGCATATGTGGTATATACAAGCATAGGTACACATGTACTTGAATATATTTACATTTATTTACACTTTCTAGTAATTGAGATGAAAGTAAAGTAGGTTGTACATCCAACTTTCAAAGGCAATGATTCATTAGTAAATATTTAATTTGTTCGAAGCATTATTATGCTGGCACTATTGAGAATCCAAAGCTGAATGTGTGGCAATGCCTATCTATAAGAATTAAAATCCTACAGGGCATATATCTATATTGTTTTTCATCCACTAAAATTTAATAATTCATATGCACAATGATAGCTTCAAATCATTGAGTCAAAAATCTCTGTATTCTATTTAATTTAGCAGAGACATACTTGTTGCTTGAAAATGTTTGAAATCACCTGTGTGTTTTAGTTAGCAGTACGTTAGAGTTTAGCTGAAATAGACGCAAACATAAGGTTTAGGGGGCTTAAGCCAGAAGAATAGGCCATGTTTCCATACACAGTTTATGATAAAGAGTTGTTCTGGCTGTGCTGCAATGTCAGGACCCAAGTCACTCACATCCCTGGTCTCACCTTCCTGAACAGTAGATTGGCACTCCAGCTTTTTGTACTGTCATCTCACACCAAATCAAAGGCAGGAAGGGAGAGATGGGTGGCACACAGAGATTTCTCCAGGAGCTCCTCACAGCCACCTCTTTCATCCAATGAACAGTCTCTTTATTGGAAACCTTAGCACACAGAAGTCTACTGAAGCATCACTAGCCTGGTGTTGGCTAATCTTAGTTTGTCTGGGGCTAAGTTAGTCAGTCCCAGGAGAAAAATCAAAATTCTTAACAAAAAGCTACCCAGGGAGAAGCTATTGGTCACTGAACAAAATTTATAGAATTTCATTTCACTAGTGTTCCCAAATGTAATTATTCCTTTTTCCAAGTGGCAAAATTATGTAGATTAAAATTTAAAAGACACAGAAGAATGTGTAGTGACTATTGAGCTTTCCTGCTAGCCTGTCCTTCAGCTATCCAGTTCTTGGGTCAGCTGACCTGATCTAACTCTTCATCTCTCCTGTTTTAATCAAGGTTGATTAGCAGGGTACTTGTTATATAATTACACAAGAATGGCCTTTAACCTCACTAGGTATGTTGTTTTTACAAAGTTATTCAGTATGTTTAGCATCTAGTGACCAATATCTTTGTTCCTTTGGAATGCCATTTTTTACTTACTGTAATATTTAACATGGTGTAGCTTTTATTTATCTGTTTAATTAATTTTTTATTTTTGACATCTCGACCACAGTTTCTCCTCCCTCCTCTTCTCTTAATCCTACCACCACCACCACCATCCATCCATCCACTCCTTTTCCTCTACTTCTCTCCAGAAAATGTCAGACCTCCTATGGATATCAACCAGCCATAATATATCAAGTTGTAATGAGAGAAGGCACTTCCTCTACTATTAAGGCTGGATGAGGCAACCCAGCAGGAGAAAAGGGTCCCCAAACACAGTCAGAGATAGCCTCTGCTTCCACTGTTAGGAGTGCCACAAGAAGACCAGGCTACATAAGTGTAACACATACACAGAGGGCCTAGGTCAGTCCTATGTAGGCTCCCTGGGTTTAGGTTCAGTCCCTGTGAGCCACTATGAGGCCAGGTTAGCTGATTATGTGTGTCCTTTTGTGATGTCTTTGACTCTTCTGGATCCTACAATCAACAAGGCATATCTTTTTTGTTGGTTATAAACCATATATTTTCTTTTTGTGATTTACTTTTGTCCTTCAAAGCAATAGGCTGAATAGTCTGTGGAGAAACATGGGAGTGCTCTGGTCCTCCAAAGCCCAGCCTAGTATGTCTGAGTCTAAGAAAACTGTTGTGATCTCACAGAACTGTCACCTTCACAAGAGTTTTCTTGGCCAACTGAACTCCTGTGCATGTGAGACTCTCAGAAGACTCTAAATTCAGAGACTTCTCTAACCAGGGATGGAATCTTTTCTGATTTGTTTTATATCTTTTTTACATGTTGAAATAACATTGAATAAGAACAATGTTATAGCTGACTGGCTGTGATACTTTCTTTTCATTTTTTAAAATGCTATGTCCCAGTTAGGTGGATTCTAATGGCCAGTAATCAATAGCTCCCTGAGACTAGAAAACTCTGCCCAGTAACACCAAGGACAAACCAAAGGCATTCCTTCTGTCCCTCAGAGAACTTGTTACCATGCCATGTATGTAGCAGTGAGATGCTGTGAAGTAGATTTTGCTTTTATTTTTTAAGTAATAATGATCACTAATATTCAGTTTAATTCAGTTATACTTGCTTGAAAAAACATTACTTGGTTTCATTTGTCGGATTGCTGCTGTGGCATAAACAGTTACAGTGAGTGACTCTTAGGCCAGGTGCAGTCTGGATATGCTCTGGGGATCTCTACTGAATCACTGTCTTTTTTATTTGCAATCCAATGATACTTTTTGCCAGTTTTTCTTACTCTGGGATTTTACTTTTACTCATGTATACCTCTTTACAAGATTACACAAAGCTTGCCTTGGCCCCAAACTGGGCTGCCTCCTTATCTCCTTACAGGTAGCTTGCTTATCCTTTCCTTTCCTCCCTTCCTGTATGAATAACACAGTGAAGTCACAATATTATAATTTGCCCCTAGGCATATTTAACACATGATTAAATCCATGTAGGAAAAAAATCCTCCAGTTTCAGACTTTGCTTTACTTAGAAAAATATTTTCTGTGATTTAAACATTTTAAAGTTTATGTAGATGAGAACTTCAACACATATATGTTTAAAATATTTAATTCCCAAGTATAAACTTTTAAAGTCAAGGCTTTCCAAAGTTATTAGCACTCACAGTAGATCTCTGTCCAGTGGAACAGATGTTGCCTGTATCTACAAATATTTCAAAAACAGATTGAAGGCATGCCACATGCAATTCCTCTTGGCACAATTCAAGTACATTTTGCCAGAAAACATTTGAACAGATTTTAAATCTTTCTGCTCATTATCTTTGAAAAAAATATACAAACTCACACACATTTTTTTGCAAGGTGTCTGTTACAAGTTCTATGCTGTGAGTGGTACCTTTTACCCAATCTGCTTCTTCGCATCAAAAAAATGTGATTCTGCAAAACATGGAAAGATGAAGAAAAGGTCATGTGTACAGTAATTATTAAAAGCAGAAGCAGACAAGTGTATGCTAATAAAAATATTTAGCTTGATAGGGTTCATAAAATTAAACTTGAGAAAATTCAACAGCATTGACATTCCAACATGCTCAAGAGGCATTGCTTTGTTAAGAATGTAACTATGAGAAATCAGCTTCTCCTGTCTTGTCATGCAGTTGTCACTGGAGCTTGGCTAAGTGCATCTTTTCACATTTCTGGATCCTCTCAGCTCTCTTCAAAGGGTTTGTTCTACCTGGGATGTTCTTCCCCACTTGTTTCTGTTATTGATCATTGATTCATAACCTGTTAGTCAAGACCTCTTTGGTGATCAAATGACCCTTTCACCCAAGACCATCAGAAAACACAGACATTTACATCACAACTCACAACAGTTGCAAAATTACAGTTATGAAGTAGCAATAAAATAATTTAATGGTTGGGGGTCACCACCGTACAGCTGTATTAAAGGGTATCAGATTAGGAAGGTTGAGAAGCACTGGTTTAGATGGTATGAATGTGGCACCTGCATCGTGTAGTTTGGTGTAACAGGAGGGAAAAGGTGGGAAGGTGGACTGGAGTCAGATAATTGAAGAGAATTTCTTACTGTGCTAATTTTAGAAGTTTGCA